TCAGCAGAAAAGTGGGTAGATGTTTAACGAAACACTTGCAAAGTCAGTGTTTTTCCAAGAGTGTTAGAGTAAGGGATTGTCTCTTTCTGCAAAGAGTTTACAAAGTAAAACATGCGCTCAATTTCCTAGGAGGCCTTTATTGGGCTATTTTTATTGTATTAATATTTCTTTGTCTTTTGGAAATGGGGTGTCACTGTGTAGCTGAGGCTGCCTTGAGCCTAGGCTCCTGCTGCTCAGCCTCTTGGGTCCCCGGGGGGGGCCCCACCGCAGGCGCTGTTTAAACGGCGTCATCCCTGGGCGGGCCTTTCTCTGCTGGTACCTGTTGGCCGGATGGGGTGGGTGTCTCTAGAGGTCCGCACCATCCATCTATGACCTTTTGGTTTGTTTTCCTAGATTTTAACTCTGTTCTTCCCACACCCCCTTGCTAAGGAAGACCAGCAGAGATCGTAGGAGGATTACAAAGCGCGGGCCACTCGTGAGCCCGGGCTGCCGAGCCTGTGACCCGGCAGCCGTGAGCACAGCCTCACCACACCACCGTCAGTTCTTCCAAAAGGCTGAACAAGTTTGCCCCACTGGAACGCCAAGGATGCAGCCTTTACAGCAGCCGTCAGAGTGGCCCAAGGGTCGCATGTCCCTTTCAGGCGGCTCTGGGCTTCCTTGTGCTTTTTTCAGGGCTGTCATGGGAGGCAGCGTGGTGAGTGCTGTGGCTGCAGTTGCCGTGTCGCGCTGTCACTTGGTTTTTTCTTCTTTTTTTTGTGGAACCGGGGATTGAACTCAGGGCCTTACACTTGCCAGGGAAGTGTTTATTCCACTGAGCCATCTCCCCGGCCCCCCACACTGTCACTTGTGAAGGGTGCTGTGGGGTTCCTTCCGCTGGCCTGGATACCCGTGACACGGCTGTCAGCTGTTGCCTCTTCCTGCTCTGGGGGAGGAAGGCTTTTCCCTTCTACTGTGTCATAAGCCACACCTTGAAACTGTCCTCAGGCCACTACGTGCCTGAAGTTGGCTTTGTCTGGTGGCCTTTAGTCTGTGGCTTGGAGGATGATGGTGGAGGTAGCTTCTGCTGGCCCTGAAATTGCCACATTTCTTCCAGAGGAGTGGCCCAACCCCTGCGCAATTGCAGCCTCGAGCCTTCTCTGGGCCTGGAGGGGTGTGGCAGCACATGGGCGCCCTTTCCCCAGGCCTACGCACACCCCGCAGAGCGCACAGGGCTGTGGCCTGGTGGAAAGAGAGCGCAGGTGTCGGGGTCCCGGGGTGGGGGGCCAGTGCCCGCGCCCGCCTGGCCTCCTCTGATCTTGAACTTGGGGATGCTAAGGTGTGTATTTGTATGTCCCAGACACTTGAGCTTACACTGGGGTCAACATTAGATTTTCTTCTGTCCACCCCATGACGGTGATTCAGAGGTTGGACTCTGGCACCTTGGCTGTTCACACACGGACAGTGTCCCCACCCCAGCCTGACCTGTGACCGGGTCTCAGTCCTAGGGCAAACCAGGGAATGAAGTTCCTCCACCAAGGGAGTGGAGTTAAGAGCTTTGTCTGCTGTCTATCTGTTGCTTTCTTTAGCAAAAGCTCATAGGTCTCTGCTAGCTTGGAGTATGTGAGGGAACTTGGGGTAATGCTTGTCCACCTGGTGGGGACTGTAGGAGCTGGCCCAGCACTTGGGAGGCTGAGGCAGGAGGGTCTCCATGAGTTGGAGGCCAGCCTGGAACTATAGTGAGACCCTGTTCAAAAAACCGAGAGAGATAGACTGAGAGGGCGACCATGGGTTTTGGCAGTCCCCCCGCACTGGGGCAAGTGTGGGTTTGAGGGAGGTTGCAGGCTCTTCCCTTTTCCGAGGCAGCAGCCTGCATCTGACTGCAGGTTTAAGCCATGACTCGCGGTTTCCTGGGGCTTGTGGGTGTTCAGGTCACCTGCCATGGGGCGTGTATGCCGCTGCCTGTAGGGACTGTGCCTTCCTCCCTTGGAGACCAGGCTGGAGCCTGGGAGCAGTGGCAGTGACCTCTCTGGCCCAGGATGGACAGGGCCTCCGTGAGGGCTGCGGACCGCAGGCACTATTCTGACGCCTGCTGGCTACAGCTGGCCTCCAGTGTCCATCACCTGCATGCTCAGCTCTGCAGGGCTGCTGAGAACCGAGGGTCATCCACTCTCGGCGCATGCTGTGTACTACCGTCGGACTCTTTTGAGAGTATTGCTGTTGTGGCCAGGCTGGCCTTAGCATGTGGTGGTCCTCCTGCCTCCTCGGCTTCCCGTGTGCAGGGGCAGTGGGAGGCACGTGGTGGGGGCGAGGACAGAGAGTGCAGCCAGGACCGCCGCCTCGGCTTGGCGGAAGCGGGATTGAACTCGGGCCATTGTGCTTGCCAGGCAAGCGCTTATTCTACTGAGCCGTCTCCCTGGCCTGCAGCCTTGATTGGGGAGGACGCGGCCACAAGCCGCTCCTGGGCAGTAGTCGCAGCTCCTGAGCCTGAGCGCTGACCCTGCTGTGTGTGCCCACGCCTAGGATGGTCCCGTGCCAGGCTGTGCTCATGCAGGATTCAGAGGCTGGGCTGGCGTGGGCCTTAGTCAGGGAAGGGCTCAGGTGCCCGTGCCCAGAGCTGGAGCCCTAGCCCTTCCGCCGCCGACTCAGGTTTGCGTGAGCGCTGTGAGGACAAGCACCCGGGGCCCCCACATTGGACTTCCCAGGCAGCTTTTGCTGCCTTAGCCCTTCCTTATAGGTGGGGAAACTGAGGTAGATGTGAAGCCTGCGCTGCGAAGGAAGTCTCAGGTAGCCTCTAGGGCTTAAGCTGACGCCTTCACACTGAGGCACCCCCCTTGCATTTTGAAACAGGGTCTCTACCATCAGTTATCCAGGTTGGGCTTGGACTTGCGATCCTCCTGCCTCAGCCTCTGAGTGCGGGGATGACAGGGTGTCCCGTCCCGTCCCCCCCCGCCCGGTCCTTGGCCATTGCCAGATTCCGAGGTTTCTTCTGGTGGGCCAGCCCGGGGCTGCACAGGAGCTCACGCCCAGGCCCTGCACGCCTCCGGCAACCACTATGTACCCAAGGGCTTCTCCTGATGTCACGCCGAAGGACTCCTGACAGCTGCTTTTTAACCAAAGCTTTTTAAAGCTTGTTTTCTACTAGAAGAGATTCGTCAGAGCGTCAGCAAGGATATGCAGTTTATAGGATGACATTTCTCTTGGGAAAAATATCTTCCAAGTGGTTGCTTCAGGGCCAGCACGTTCTGTGGGCGAGGAGAGAGAGGACCTGGTTTGCAGAGTCAGCCGTGTGTGGGTGTGGATCAGTCAGGCCTGCTGGCACGTGTGTGTGGGAGGGTATGGGGGACTGCACCCAGGGAGAGCTGGGCTACCTCGTAGTCCTTTTCATTCTTTAATTTTGAGCCATGGTCTTGCTAAACCACCCAGCCTCAAACTTGGGATCCTCCTGCCTCAGTCTCCTGGCTCGCTCAGCTGGGAAGGTGCCACCAAGCCTGGCCAAAATGGGCAGTCTTTTGGCAAGAAAATGAAATGAAGCCTTCCTTCCTTTCATTTGGGTTGTGCAAGAGAAGATAGGGGAGCATTCTTGTGCTCTGACTTGGCTCTGAAGGTAGGCCTGGCTTGCAGGGCCTGGTGGCACACGCCTGTCATCCCAGCACTCTGGGAGGCTAAGGCAGGAGAACTATAATTCAGAGCCCAGCCCAGGGAGCTTAGTGACTTGGTGAGCCCTTGCCTCAGAGTGAAGATCTAGAGAGCAGGAGGAGGCTCAGTGGCCCTGGGTTCCATCTCCAGCACCTCTGGAGGAAGAGGAGGGGAGGGAGAGGAGGAAGGGGGGAGGAAAGGCAGGCTGCACACTGGGGGCCTGGCCAAAGCACCCGGGGCGGGCGATCCCCCAGACTCCTGCACCCTGTCCCAAGATGCGTGCCACAGTGGGCACACAGCTGCGCAGTGGGGATTTTTTGGCAGAACTGGGGATTGAACTCAGGCCCTTGCACTTGCCAGGGAAGTGCTTATTCCACTGAGCCATCTCCCCAGCCTCAGCAGTGGGGATTCTAGACAGATCCCAGGACTGTGGAGGTAGGGTCTGTGAGCTGCACGCCGTGGTGCCCACGGGACACAGAGGTGAACATGGGAGTCCTTTTTGGTGAAGACAGTGCAGTATGGGTTTTTGGCTTTTCAAAGTTACTTAATTATTTGGTTTTCTGAGATGGGGTCTTCTATATAGTCAGGGTGTCCTTGAAGATCCTCCTGCCTCAGCCTCCCGAGTGCTGGGATGACAGATGTGCACCACTGTGCCCCACGTGAGCTGCAATGTGGTTCAGACACCCATGCTCTGGTGGTGGCCTCGTTCCATGTCCTTGCTTGGCTGGCAGCGGCTTTCACATGCGGAAACTACAGCTCAGGCGGTGTGAGGATTCGAAAATTCATATACACTGCTTGATCTGGGTAGAAAATGAACGTGTGTTTCCCAAGGTTAAAGTGGATTCTACCGGTTGGAGTTTATATTTTCTTCCATTCTGTGGGAAAACAGAAAATCAGAAAGCAGTTGATTTTTGATGTTGACTTTGTATGTGCCCCGTTGCTGAGCTGGCATTTGGTGAAGTCATTCAGGTCTCAGCACAAGGTGACATCTCTTCCAAATAAGGACACTCTGACTTCTTCCCATTCTCGTGTCCTTTCTCCTTTCGGGCTTCTCCTTGCATGGTCCAGGCTGGTCTTGGACTCACCGTGTAGGCCAAGGTGGCCTTGAAGGTGTGGTAAGGTGACCCTCCTGCTTCAGCCTCCTGCGTGCTGGGTCCTCTTCCAGTTTCTCCGTTTGGCTGGCTGTGTTTTCTGTCTGTCGCCGTGGCTCTCAGGGAGCAGATGGCTGAACAGGCAGCACGCGCCGTGGTTGAAGCTGGCAAGCTGGCCTTTCAGATCCTCTGGCAGCGTCTCCCCTCCGGGGGCGAGCAGCAGTTGCCGTGCCGGGCGCTGGCGCCTGTTCCGCCCAGGAGGCAGCCTCAGCATCCTCTCTCCTGTCCCTGCAGAGGTTGGTGACGTGGCCAGGCAGTACCTGGAGAAGGGCCTGCTGGTGCCGGACCACGTGATCACGCGGCTCATGATGTCTGAGCTGGAGCTCAGGAGTGGCCAGCACTGGCTTCTGGACGGTGAGTGGAGGGGGTCACGCTCTGTGGGGTGCTGGGGGTCCCCTCCCCACTCATGTAGTCCTGGTAGACTGAGAGTCCCTGTACTCTCAAACTTCCTGCCACTTAGAGAGGATTACGATTTGACGACATGGAAACTATGGAGCCCGGGCTGGCCTGGACCCCACAGCAGTCCCCCTGCCTCAGGCTCCCGAGTGCCACGTTCACGGGTGTGTGCCCCGACACTTGGGTCCTGGAACTCATCTAAGTCTGAGGTTCTTTCTTTCACTCTCCAGGGGCTACACAGGGTGCAGCTCTGGGCAGTGGCTTCTTTACCTTGCAGAGTGAAAGGAAACTGGGAGCACTCAGGGAGTGCGGGAGGCACGAGGGCGCGTGATCAGCAGCCCCGGGCCTGCGAGCCCTGCGCATGCGCTTGGCCGAGCAGTTCCGGGCTGCGTGCTGCCTCCAGGTGCCTTCAGATGTGTGGGGACGCTGCGCCAGCCAGCTGCACAGGGCCTTCTCGCCCAGGAGGGAGGGCAGAGCACAGCCGCGCGTCGTGGCCCTGAAGAGGGAGCTCGGTCTATTCTCCCCGTGGGGAGGACCTGGACAGTGACACTGGGAAAGGATTTTTTTTTGGCTGGCTCAGGCTGCCTTAAGGGCAGGTCTAGTAAGGCATGGGGAGCTGGGAATTGAACCGCGGTCCCTTGAGTCTGACTGGGTTTGCCCCAGCAGGCACATAAACAACTGAGCTAAGTTGCAAGCCCCCTACACTGGGAAAGGGATGGGTGGATGGGTGGACCGAAGGACGGATGGGTGGGTGGGTTGGATGGGTGCGATGGATGGACAGGTGGATGGACAGGTGGGTGGATAGAGCGATGGGTGGCTGGCTGCCTGCCTGGATATGTTGATAGAGAATGGCTGGCTGGAAGGATGAGTAGATGGAAGTGTGGGTGGGGCGATGGCTGGTCCGACCCCTGCTCCTGTCTTCTGCTCTTTTCTTGTCCCCACAGCCTGCCCCATCGCAGCCATTCCTGCCTGCACAGTGCTGTGTAGGCTCTCGCTGCCTCCTCAGTGTGCTCCGGAAAAGCCATCTGGCCCCTGGCGGTCCATCTGGCTTGGTGGATGCTGTCCTCAAGCTTGGCGCCAAGCCTTCTGTCCTGGGCACTGAGCCCAGTGTGGGGGCCAGGCAAGGGCTCTGGTGACAGGGGACACTGCCAGGGCTCCAGGTTGCTGTGTGGAGGTGGCCACAGGGGTTTTTCTTTTCTTTCTTTTTGAGACAATTACAGCCAAGGCTGTTCTCCAACTCAGAGCCATCCTCCTGCCTCAGCATCCTGAGCACGGGGATCACAGGTGTGCATGGCCCCACCTGGCCAAAGTTGATCTTTTAAGCTTCCCATTGGGAGACAAGATAGGAACGGTGCTTGTCCTGGCTGTGTCGCTGTGGCCATGGTCAGCCCGAGTGGCCTGGCGCGCGGCGCGGGTCTGTGGGGCTCTGTTTCTTCTGCCCTGGCCCTGAGCACAGGAGGCACAGAGCTCCACAGGGGTGCTTGATGGCGAGGGCCCCAGGAAAGCGCACACTGGGAGGTGGAGTCCCCTGGCCCTGGGGACCCTGCAGGTCTCCCAGGAAACCCACACTGTGTTATCCATTGCTGCTTGTAGCAAATGCCAACGGCGGTGAATGAATGGGATAGCTGGGTGTGGGGGGTGTGCCTACAGCCCCAGCCACTCCTGGACACCGAGGCAGGAGGATCATCGAGAGCTCAAGTCCAGCCTGGGCTACATAGCAGGGCGTCTGTAGGAGAAGCCTCCATTTTCTGGCTGTTCTGCTGTTGGAATCATGGGGGCCGGGCAGCAGAGTGGGGTGCAGGGAGTGAGTAGGTTGGTGTGGACGAGTGAGGTGGGGTTTATTTGCAGTACTGGCTCTTTAAACGGGCCTCTGAGCTGGGCTACTCTGCAGCCTTTTTAAATGATCTTGTTTTGAGACAGTGTCACTAAATTGCTCAGGGTGGACTTGAATTTAAGGACCTCCAGCCTCAGCCTCCCAGAGTCCCCAGAGCGGTCCTGTCCCAGCACGCCTGCTAGTTGCTGCCCGCAGGAGGGATCTTTCCCTTATAGTGTGGCCGTGGAGATCAGAGATTGCTTCCCACACCCCGCGCAGCATGCTGCCACCTGCTGGCCACATGGGGAGGAGCGCCCACGGGGCATTCTGGCCTTGTGCAGGACTGGCGGCTGGTGCCCGGCGGTGGAGCAGGGCCAAGTCAGCCGCCTGAGAGCCAGGGTGTGAGCGCCCGCACTGCCCAGATAACTTTCTTAAAAAATGTAATTCCTTAAAGGATTACAGGACAAATACGCAAATTGTTATATCCATAGACCAAGAACTTTTGACAAAATTCAGCAGATTCAGAGTAAAATATGATTAAATTAGGAATTAAAAGATAATATCCTTTTTCCTACACAAAAATTTTAACTTGATTTTTAAAATTTTAGTTTATTGGGCCAGGGAGATAGCTCAGTGGCTTAAAGCACCTGCCTAGCAAGCGCAAGTCCTGAGTTCAATCCCCAGTACCAAGCCCCACTTCTTTTTAGTTACTGGTACATGCGTGTAGCACGCAATGTCTGCACGCCTTGTGGAAGGCTGGTGCCCGTACACAGCGTCTTGCTTCCTTTCTCCATCCCCTTTTGCTTCTGTTCCCCTCCACCCATCCCTTGGGCCTCTTCCTTTTTCCAGTACATGTGTGCAGTACACCGGTGCTCACCTTCTGTGTGTGGCATTGCTGTGTGTGTGTAACACATTCCACTGCCTTTTATTCCTCCCTCATCCCATCCCGCCCTCCTTCCTTTCTCCATCTTTCAATCGTTTTTCTTCAGATAACTTTTTTTTTTTTTTTTTAAGACGGTCTCACTGTGCAGTTCAGGCAGGCCTTGAGTTTACTTTGTAGCCTAGGCTGGTCTCAAACTCGGAAAGTATCCTCCTTCCTCCTGCCTCAGCCTCCTGAGTGCTGGGATTGCAGGCATGGGCCACCACGCCCCGGCTCAGGACTGAAAAAAGTTTCAGATAACTTTTTAAGAAATGCCTGGTTTTGGATTTGGCTTCTATTTTTTGTGGCTCTGAGGATGAAAGCCAGGGCCCCAAACACACTAGAGGGGTCCTTCATCCTGGATACACGCCCCCAGCCTGGAAAATACCTGAGTGCTGGGCTCTGAGTGCCTACAGCCACTGGGTGGGGAATGGAGCCAGAGCCATGTGCCAGGTGTGGACCGCAGCCCTGTCCTCTCTGGAGAGCTATTTTATTCTGGGATTCCCTGAGTTGTGACCTTGTGCAGTCCGGGCTTGTGCTTGGAATCCTCCTACGTCAACCTCCCAGAGTTCTAAAACAGGGAGTGGGGCTTCGGCTAGGAACCCGGGCCTGTCACAGGGTTACCTCTCAGGTTCTGTGTGACTAGTCAGACTTCACTGCCCCCACAAGTGTGTTGGGAGCTGGCTAGGGGCGATTATCGCACAAAAGAGACACCAAAGGGTAGCGGGGAGCTCTTCCGATGAACTGCAGCTCGCTGACTTGGAGCTGCCCAAGTGCAGGCAGCAGACACGGAACAGCGCATTTCCTGCGAACCTCCACGCGCAGGGCTGGACAGCACCTCAGTTAGGGCTCCTGCCCGGGCTGCTTCCGGGGTCCTTCCTGCGCCTTTGCCGGGTTCCTGGCCCCACGTGCTCTGTGTTTGCGTGCAGGGTTCCCGAGGACCATCGGGCAGGCCGAAGCCCTGGACAGGGTCTGCGACCTGGACCTGGTCATCAGCCTCAACATCCCCTTCGAGACCCTGAAGGATCGGCTCAGTCGGCGCTGGGTCCACCTGCCAAGCGGCCGCGTCTACAACCTGGACTTCAACCCTCCGCTCGTCCCCGTAAGATGCACAGAGCAGGGCAGGGCGGGCCATGCGGGGTGGGTAGGAGTCCGCTGCCCGCAGCAGCAGGAGGAGTCAACCTACTGAGTGGCCAGCGGAAGGCAGGGTAACGAGGAGGCGGCAAATGGGGCCGGTGGGCGGGGCACACCTTTACAAATGGAACCCCCGGATGCTGATGGGACCCCGGGAAAGTGGGGCTCTCATTTTGCTCAATAAAGTGTTAAAGCCAGATGTGGTGGCACATATCTGTGATCCAAGCCCTGGGAGGCTGAGGCAGGAGGATCGCCCAGAGTTCCAGGCCAGGCCAGCCTAGACTGCATGCAAAACCCTGTCTCCAAAACAAAACAGAAACAGTAATTTGGTAATTCTTTTCCTAGTCTCTCTCCTGCCTTCCTTCCTTCCTTCCTCCCTCCCTCCTTCCCTCCTTCCTTCCTTCCTTCCTTCCTTCCTTCCTTCCTTCCTTCCTTCTTTCCTTCCTGTATTGTAGAGAGGGAATCTGGCTGTGCAGCCCTGGCTGGCTTTGACCTTACTGTGTCCCTTCTGCCTCAGCCTCTGAGTGCTGGGGTCACAGGTGTGCACCACCATGCCTGGCCCCAAAGATTCTTAGAAGGTTTGAAAGCCTTTGCTACCAAGACGTTCGCCAAAGCTCAGCTCCCTGGGAGGAGCGCTGCAGCTCCGGGGCTGCCTGCGATGATCTCGGAGCCCCTGCGTCCTGTGGCAGGAACACACAGTGGACACATCCTGGTTCCTTCTGAAAGCTGAGCTTCTCAAAGTGACTGTGTGGCTGGTGGGAAGGCAGATAAGAGGAGTGCGCAGGTCCCGCGCACCTTCTGCCACCCCGGAGTCTGCGCAGGGCGACAGCGTAGAACCAAGTCCTGGTGCCCAGGGCCTGTGGGTGAGGCACTGGCAACCCCGGGCAGATTCCTCCAGGGCACCTCTCACTGGCCGTAGCAGGAATGTCTGTGTGTCTTCGCTCCTGGGCACTGCTCTGCAGCAAGCCAGGGCACTGCCACCAAACCGCCTGAGTGCCCTGTTCACCCCCACCCCGTGCCCTCAGAGGGCCTTTAGTCTGGTAAGAGGACCAGAGAAATTTCAGAGAAGCTGCAGTCCTTGAAGCTGCCAGAGATGGTACTAGGTATTTCTACTACATTAGTAATTTTCCTGACAAATTCTTTGAGACATTGTATTTTCTTATTTAGCATATTAAGAACTCAAGTTTCATTTATGTGTAGTTGTTGCTGTTATTTTGTTACTTTTTTGGCTGGCTTAGACTGCCTCAAGGACAGGTCTGGTAAGGCATGTGGAACTGGGGATCGAACAGCAGTATCCTGCGCCTGACTGCGTTTGCATAAGCAGGCGCTTAAGTGCCTGAGCTAACCGGCAGGCCCCGTGTTGCTGTCATTTTGAAGCAGTCTCCGTGCAGTTAAGGCTGAGCTCATTGTGTAGCTCCGGCTGACCTTGAACTCTCAATTCTCCTGCCCAGCCTCCTGAGTGGGAGGGGAGGGCACAGGCGGAATCTAGGCGCCTATTCTGGGATGACAGCTGTGCACCACCATGAAAGAAGTTGATGTAGAAAGGAAAGCAGTTGGGGAAGATTTCAGGGCTAGGGAAACGTTGTACGTAGACTTGCTGCCGGGGGTTTCAGCGGAGGGATTTCTCTGAGAGCCCACGAGAGACCCCGTCCCTGCTGTCTTCACCGCAGCACCCCTCATGGGGCAGGAGAGGGGCTGCCATGAGACTGCTGTGGCATGGCTGGCCCTGGCTTGCTCACTGCCCCACCCCCACGTCTTAGGGCGTGGACGATGTCACTGGTGAGCCGCTGGTCCAGCTGGAGGTTGACAGGCCTGAGGCAGTGGCTGCGCAGCTGCGGAGGTACAAAGATGCCGCAAAACCCGTCATGGAGCTGTACAGGTGAGCAGCCCGGAGCAGAGAGGGGGCGCAGGCTGCGGTGGGCCGTGCTTCCCGAGTGTGGGTGCAGTGATCTGCTCAGCGTCTGCGGATGAGGCTAGGAACCAAAGCCCTCAGCCTTTGGCCTCTGCTCAGCATGCAAGTGGCACCTGGATTTTGCCCCTCCCCTCCCCCCTCCTTTTCCCTCTCTCCTGTCCCCTCCCTTCCCCTTCCCTCCTCCTGGTGCAGCCCTGGGTACTGACTGCTCTCTGGCCTTGTGGCCTCCAAATTCTTACGGCCATTAGCTGAGGTCCTTGGGCCCAGGCCTGGGATGTCCTGTGTCCCGAGTGCCTGCAGCTTGCCGCAGTGTGCTTGGGAAGGGCACTTGGAGGCTGATGGGGTTCCCTGCCGTGTGCCCTTCCAGAGGGGGCCTGGGCCTGTGTGGCAGCAGGCCCATCCTCTGCTCATGGTGCTTTGGGGCACCACTGGCTGCCAGTCCCTGCGGTTCCTGCAGCGCCGCGCCTGTCACTTGTCTTGCAGGAGCCGCGGCGTGCTGCACCAGTTCTCTGGGACGGAAACCAACAAGATCTGGCCCTATGTGTACTCACTCTTCTCCAGCAAGCTCACGCCACTGCAGTCCCAGGAAGCCAACTGAGGCCCAGGCGGCAGAGGCTGGACCTTGTGGCAGTTTTCTAGGGAACCGTGACCCTGAGGGAGGACAAGCAAGTACGAGGGCCCGCGGAAAGGCCTCCCGACCAGCCTTGTCCTGCCGTCCACCTGTGGCCTGCAGTGATGTGTCTCAGTTGCCCAGGAGGGCGGCACCGCGCTGCCTGCTCTGTGCTCCGAGCCCCGGGGTCCCCTCTCCCACACCGCAGGACAAGAGGCTTGGCTTCCACCCAGTGAAGACGGACGTCAGCTTTCCTCTTCTCACCCTGCGGTCAGCTATGGCCGAGAAACAAAGGATGACCAGCTTTTTCCCTCTCCCCAGTGCTGGGGGTGGAGATGGGGGTGGGGGCCCAGGATTGCCCAGCAACGTGCTGAACCTGAAGCGCCTTTGTTTTTGCATCTGCCACCTCCGACTTGTTCTCCTTTTATTGTGAAAATATTAGAGCTCCAGAGTCCTAGGTTTTTCAGGAACATGAGAAATATGCCCTGTGATGCTACACAATCGTGTGTCTACAGAGAGAGGACCTAGATGGTACGGAATGCCTGGATGAGCGGAAGAGTGGAGTTCTTAGTGCAAAAACAGATGCCGACCGCGTTGCCGGTGCTGCCTCTCCCGTGACGACACATGCCGCCCGCCTCCTCAGTGCTGGGATGCAGGCTTGGCGGGGGGCAGCCGTCACGCTGGCCACGGCTTTGCCGCTATGGGGCAGGCAGTCTTTTCCCTTCCTCCTGTATTCCAAAGATGCAGACTGTGCACAGCCACAAGGTCCATAAATACAGATAGGAATATTTTGCCATTCCGCTTTTGGTTAGATTTTCTGTTCTTGGCGTGGTAGCTGCCTTGAACACCTTGCTGTCTGGGAAGAGCGGTGGAGTTGCCCCTGCTGCCTTAAGAGTGCGTACGGCCCGCCTGCTGTGCCTGCCCCTGGGTGTCCTCTGCTGTCCCCGGGGTGAGTTCCATGTGGCCCTTTGTACCAGCAAGCAAACACAAAGCCTGCTTCAGCCTCCAGTGGGTGAATGCGCAGTTCCTTCTGCGGGCGCCTGGTGTCCCACAGTGCCCCGCATGCCCTCTGCACCCCAGCCTGAACCCCATGCCCCCCTTGCTCCCTCATAGGAATGCACCCTGCCCAACCTCAGGATTTTTGGAGAACCAGGTGAAAGCAACCTGCGGGCATCCCATAGTTCAGTGTTGCCGTGGAGACGGCTTTCAGAACCCAGGAATAGTAGAATTCCAGTTTTTTTTGGTGATTCAGAGAGGGAAGTGTGCCCCCCTTCTTCTAATGCAATGATTGCCTTGGGGGGCTGGGGGGGACACAGCTGGACCCCAGACTGGATCTACACTCCTCTGTCCTCACTTCCATCAAAATGTGATTGGAGCCTGCTTCTGGCCAGCCAGGGAGTGTCAGCAGCATCCCCTGGGGCTGCCACAGGCTGAGTGGGTGTGGCCTAAGGAGAAAGGTATTTCTGGTTTTTCTCAATAAACTCATCAGTGTTCTCTTCACATAAACATAATCCATGAAAATTATTATTACTATTTTTTTCTGAGACATAGTCCTTCTGTAGTCCAGGCTGACCTTGCATTCACTGTGTAGCCCAGACTGGTTTTGAACTCTCAGCGATCCTCCTCCCTCAGCCTCCCGAGTGCTGGGATCACAGGTGTACACCACCCTGCCTAGCAAGGTGACAGCAGAAATCATTCCTTTTCTCCTTCGTGGGAATGTTGGCAAAGTTCCCTGGTCACGCTTCACTGCATAGTCTTTGGTGCGGGCTCAAGTCTGCCTCTGTGCCAGGGCATGGGGGGCATCTGCAGGGCCACTGGGGGTAGGGTGTAGCCTGGGTCACAGCAAGGGTTGGGGTTGGGCAGAGCCGTTCAGGCTGAAACACCGCACCGCATGATGGCCCGGGAAGGGGAGGGAAAGAGGCTCCTTTAGGTTGACTGTTTTTTTTTTTTTTTTTTGTGGGGGGAGGGTGTTTGTTTGTTGAGACAGGGTCCCACTATGTAGCCCAGGCTGGTCTTGAACTTGCAGCAGTCCTACCTCAGCCTCTCAAGTGCTGGGATTATAGGTGTGCGCCACCATGCCCGGCCCTAGGTTCACTTTTGTCAAAATATTTCCACAAGGCCGGGCGTGGGGGCACGTGTATGAGCTGCCGTGTCTGCTGGGACCTTCCTCCTGCAGCCCACAGAGGTCACTGAAGTGGCCCAGCCGTCCCTTTTCCCCTTGGCTGTGAGGAGGCTGAGCCCTCAGCCCTGCCGCGTGTGCCCTGAGGCCGCGGAAGCAGTCCTCGCTGCTGTCCGGGGCACGTGCTGGTGGCTTCACCGCCACCCTCGCCTTCTGTGTCCTGGTTCCTGTACCCCTTGTGCGGCCCCATGGTTCCAAATGCCGCCTCGATCGTAGCATAAGGGGCTTGCTTCATGTCATCCCCTGCCTTCCTGACACCAAGCTCCCATGCTGACCCCACCCAAGGCTCCAGCTGGCAGGGGAGGAGGGCAACCTTGGGTGGGGCCTGCCAAGGGGCACTGCCACAGCTGGCCTCCTCGTGCCATTGAAGCTGCGAGATGGGACAGAGCTAGGTGGAAAGACTCCTGCACCTGTAAATGGGGTCCTGATAAGATGTTACCTTGCTGGTGCCCACATTCAGAGTTTGACACTGGCTGCATGTCCCGCTGAAGCCTGCTGGAGATTTTGCTTAAATCCAAAGGACCCAGCTCTGCGTGGGGGTGACAGTGCTGTGGTGTTCCTGGCAGCACCTGTCATCTGAGGGCGCTGTCAGCAGCTTGTTGCCGGGGAGTCTTCCCAGCAATCTTGTCACCTTGGATTTAGAGATTGAAATAATCCTGTGTATTGAACACTGGCTTCTCATGCCTACGGGGGCTCATGAGGTCCAAAGCGCCTGTCTCCCTTCCCTGGGTTAAAGTTTCCCAAGCCACATGTAGCCCTGCCTGGGATCCTCACCCTCTGTGACTCGCGCCCATGGGGCTGCACCCTGTGTAGACGAGGCCGGTGTCTCCCCTCGGCCCAGTAGGTGAGCGGGTGTCTGGGATGTTCACACTCACCTGGTGAGGTTTTGTAAAGATCCCTTTCATTTAAAACAAAGCCTCTTGTCTCTGCTGAGGGGCAGCTGCCATGGGAAAGATGAGATGTTCAGGGCGGGGCTGCTTTCTCCCTCCGCTGCTGGTCTCATCTTCTTGGTGTCTCGGAGGAACCCCGGTTGAACAGGTCTTCACCTGTGACCTGGCCCAGAGTTGGCGCTCCTTCCCTGGGTCAGCGACGCGAGCTGGCTTCCAGAGCAGGAGTGCAAGCCCAAGCCCCGGTGACCAGAGCCCACGACGCCTCGTCTCCGCAGCTTCCTGTGTCTGTTAAGACTTTAAATCCAAATGACACCAGACCTTATCCCTCTTGTACCTACCAATCACACATTTTTTTTTTTTTTTTTTTTTGTGAGAGGTCTCACTATGCAGTTCAAGCTGGCCTCAGATTCATGGAAGTTCTCCTGCCTCAGCCTCCCAAGTGCTGGGGTTACAGGCATGCACCACCATACTCGTCCAATTGCACAATTTTTGCTGAAATAAATGCCATCATCCATATGCCTCTGGGTGTCACTCAGCCTGGACTCCCCATGTGTGAGGTGTGTGAGGGACTGGGGACACTTCCAGAGGGCTGAAGCCCTTGCATGGCATGGATGCGAGTGTGGCCCTTGGTGACACTTAGCCCTTGGAATAGATTTCCTGTTGGAAGCCTTCCTAGAGGTGCTGCAGCTCCAGGCCTCCCCAGTGCAGGCCATCTTGTATGAGAGAAAATGGAAGAAAAGCTGGTTCTCCGTCTCCACATAAGCCTGGAGGTATATGGGCGCTCAGAACACTTCCCGCTTTGTGAGAATTTGCACTACTGATTTTTATAGACTCTGATTTCAAGGTGGACAGGTCCCCCGGGACTTGGCTGAGTTACAGCAGCTTTTCACAGTGACCCTCCAGCTCCCGCCTTCTGTGGCCCAGGGACACCAGGCCGGGTTCACTGGGAGCCCGTGACAGTGGTAGCCCTGTGATCCCGTGCTTGCTCAGCAAGCCTCTTGGCCTGTCCTCTGTCCTCTGTCCACTATCCTGACTGTTCTTGTGTTGTTGATTGTTTTGGTTACCTGGCTTAAAAGTTGATTCCTACTTTTCCACTGTTAGAAATAAAGGTTTTTCTGCGCATAACCAGTCCGTGCACTTAGTACTTGTGCTGCTGTCCACAGTTGGCAGTGAAGTGTAAGTTCTTGTCATGGAGCTGTGCTCTGGCCTCCCACCACAGCAAGCCTCCAGCTTGTGAGGAGGATGAAGAATACTGTGTGCACGGTGACACTTGGTGGCAAAGCCAGGTCTGGCCCCAGATCCGGGTCCGCAGCCCTCTGGCCTCTCTGCTGCGTCACCACACCGCACATCCCCTTCAGCGCTGTGTCCATCCAGCCTGCCACTCACTTCGGGTTTAATTTGATGAGTTTCTGAAACAGCATCTCACTGGAGCCAGGCTGTGGTGGGCACATCCTGTGCTTGGGACGAAGTCGGGCTTCTGTGGGACTCTGCAGCATCTGCAGCCACTCGCTGGGTGGCCTCAGCTGTGCTACCCTCAGTCAGGGAGCCCCAGGCTCTGGGGGGAGGCCAAGCAGGCCTGCGTGCGCCCTCCACGGCTCACAGGCAGGAGTGACGGATGCAGTGAGGACAAGTGCCCGTGGTTCATCTGCCCACGAGGGGGAGGCAGTCAGACCCCAGGACGCTGGAGAACCTGCAGGGGTGGGACCGCTTCAGCGGTGCCAGGTGGTGCCAGGCGTGATGGCCACATGCTCCACCTGCCTGCTTTTGACTTTGTCACTTGAACTGACTGATAGCCCAAGTGGCCGCAGGGAGTGGATTTCTAGTGCGGAGGCAGCCAGAAGTGGGTGGCTGCTGCTGGACGTCAGCACCTCCATTCCTCTGAATGGGAGTCAGTGCCTAGGGTTGGGACCCCAGGTCTCCCAGCCTTGCCAGTAGGAA